TCTCCATTGTGTGCTTAAGAGAGGGTGTGTCTGCTTCACAATCGCCCCAGTACCTTGATTAATTAACAGAGTAGGGTGAAATTTTATCTAAGGATAGAAAGGCGGATAGGAGGACAGAGATAAGACAACAGAAGGCTTAAAGCACTACGTACACCACCCAGGCCTGGCGGACTCCCGCAGCCAGCCATTGTGGTCCGGCAGCCCCGAGCCGAGCCTCCGAAAGCTGAGCAGTGAGTCTTGAAAGTTCTGAAGTTGCCTGCGGCTGTGTACACCGGTCGGTTTAAGGGAAAACGAGAAGTAGTACACGGACGGAAGGGAGCATAAAGCAGCATCCCAACGTCACAGAAATAGAGACTATGAAAAGGAGAGCACATGTGTGTAGCGGCGGCTATAGCCCCTTGCTTTGTCTTGTCGGTCAGGATCTGAAGTCATGACCTGTTAATCGACAATTACATAAGTGTACTACTGACGAGTACCATTCAGCCAAATGAGCTGTTGTTTTTTGTCTTTTTTGTTTTGTATTTCCAATTCCTCTTTCCAAACAACTGGGTTTTGTGAGCATTCTTTAACTGTGAAAAGTTGAAAGTTCTTTTTTTTTTTTTTTACGTTGAATTTGGTTGAAACTCGAAACCCGAAACTCGAATCTCAGGTATGCTTGAAGGGGCCACTCAATTTTGTTCCTCGTGGACCGGGGGGTAGGAAGGGAAACAAAAAAACTATAACATTTCTAGTATTTCTACCATCTTCCCCATCCCTCCCCCCCCCTTCCCCCCCCCCCCGAAAAAAAACAAAAAAACGATGCACCCTGATCATGAATGCACACAAGCAAAGCATCCTTGTACAATACAGTCATGATGAAGGTGCCTCACATTCGGCCCGAGATGGTAGTATGGCATTGCCAGCCTCACAAATGCACCATACTTTGATGATGTAACTTCACTTAAGCCGCCAGTACCTTTCCCAGGCAAAAAAAAAAAAAAGCTCGCCAGTTAACAGAGAGGCCGGTCCCAGCCTCGCGCGTCGGCGCCAGATACATCTTGCATCGTTGGCGCACAGGGTCCGCCGCCAATATATGGGAAAGGTACTGGCGGTTTAAACCACCAGCTCCGAATGAGATGGGCGATTCTCACCTGAAGAAACGTTTGAATTTCCCATTGAGTGGGTATCAAACCGGCTGCAGGCATGCCAACGGGTCTATCTCAGTTGGTACATCCATGAATTGTTGAATTCTCGGCCTTTTGGCTAAGATCAAGTGGAGTATCTGTTCTGATCAGTTTAATATCTGATCCTTAAAAAAAAAAAAAAAAAAAAAAAAAATACAGACACAAGCTCGAATGCATATGTAGCCCGATCAACAGAATGAAATGATTCTGAATTACCTGGGGCCAGTCAGCTCAATGATCACATCCCAAGGCTGTCGCCCTTTCAAAAAAGAAGAGAAGAGAAAGGAAACCGGCTGCAGGTAGGCCCATACACATAAAAATAAAATCAGCCAGGCATATGGGCGCAGGCTACCTTCTTCCCCCGAATACAACGTACGGTCATTATAGCTGTATTTGAGGCATCTTTCAGTCTAGATACAGCTATAATGACCGTACGTTGTATTTGGGGGAAGAAGGTAAGCCGCAGGCTAAGGAAGGTCTCGTGGGAGCTGGCGGTTTTAAACCACCAGCCTGAGTACACGCCTCACATCGGCCGCGAGCCCCTGTCACAGGCCAGAACGCGACGGTGGACACCTATTTATATATTTTATTGACGGCGCATCGGCGCCGACTTTTTCGGACCACGAGACGGAACATTTTCAGCAAGGCTGGGGTTGTGCACTGGCGGTGTAAGTTAATTTTTACAGGTCCTGGATTCATGAAGTCACCTACCTCAGGGTACTTCACATCGCCCTCCCGATGGATGTTCTTCAACTCCGTCTCCCAGTCATGCTTGGCCAGCTCCGCGAGCCTGGAAGCCCATGGAACACCTATCTTCTCTCCTCGTTCTCGGATCATCTTCTTCGCCTGATCCCTCAGCAAAGCGTAGAAAGGTTTGACGGAAAGAGCTGCACCAGCTAGAGTAAGTGCAAGTTGGAAAGTCCATGATTTCTTGAGATCGGCGGTCATCGTCGAGCTTGAGCTTGGAGACTTCTGCAGGGGCGTCACCGCACATCTTGTCTTGACTGTTCTGACAGCCTTAAAGTTTTTTCCTTGAGCTGGATTACGCCCACTTCCGCCAGCAGCGAATGATGACGTCAACCGGCCTGCTGAAGGACCAACCTGCAAGGAAGGCCATGCACTCAGGTCATCAAAATTTCGGCTCTATGGTCCTTCTTCGTCATTTCATTTTGATGATCACATTAAGAAAAAAAAAAGACCACCTTTGTTTTGTTTCGGCGGGGGCCACCAGCCATTTTGGTCGGGTGGCGCCCAGCCTCCACTGGCCGCCAAAGAATGCGCTATAGGTTATATTTTACGACTTAGCCTTCCACTCTGAAAGGTAGTGATGGTTTAAGATTAAAAATTGAAATTAATTACAAGATAAAAAAAAATGGAATTAATTTACATTTTAATATGATTTTATTGCTTGCTTGCATGCTCACATGCTCAGGACATACTCGCACAAGGACTTTTTCAACTCAGCTTAGACCGTAATTGCACCCAGATTCATCCTTGGGGGATTGTAAACGTGATCAGGTACATCCAGGACAGTGCTAGTGTGAGTACACCCTCACCCACCTGCTTGCTTGTTGTGAGTCAGTCAGCGACGTGTAAGGTGTACGCCAATGGCAGGCTCTAGGCTCTTTTTTATAATTATTTAATATATTTATTTTAAAAGTTTTGTGCCTTTTCTACAAGAACAGGCCCAGGGGTTTAAAAATAAATAATAAAAATATTAAATAATTATAAAAAAGAGCCTAGAGCCTGTTCTTGTAGAAAAGGCCACAAGGCTAAAAGCCCTAAACTAAATTCCAACCACCAGTACCTTTGTCGGTTCGAAAATACTCGGCCTGCGACCTTTCAGGAGGCCGAAACGAAACGACGGCCGCCGATCAGATTGATCAACGTTGGGCTCGGCCTCCTGAAACTTCGGGTACTGGCCAGGACTTGTCGAAACCGGACGCCAAAGGTACTGGTGGTTTAACCGCATTCCTTCTGAAACCTTGGTCTTTTTTTTCTCCTTAAAAAAAAAAAAAAAAAAAAAAAAAAAACAACAACAACAACAACATAAATTCATTTCAAAATAACTGAGGCCAGGGTCCTCACAAACTTCCCAGATGAGCCAAGAGATGATGGAAACATTACCCAGTTTCGCTTTTGTAGAGAGCTTTGTGAGAGACTAGGCCCTTGGCCTGGCTTTACCTCTTTTTTTTTTTTAACAAAAAAAAATTCCCTTGTGGATGCTAGCCGTAGCTCTAAGAAAACACAGCAACCATTCTTTCACCATGGCCGGGGGAAACATGCAATCCCTTCCTTGTGAGGTAGCTATGCTTGCTGGGGTCCCCTCTATATAGCCTTAGGAGTAGTGGTAGGTAGGTAGGTAGGTAGGTAGGTAGGTAGTGAAAGGCCAAAAAGAATTTGAGAGAAGAACATAGTGTAATTAACCAAAAAAAGAAAAAAGGAAAAAAAATGAAAACACTTTTTTTTTTCTTTTTTTTTTAACCATTTCTCAATTTATGCCTGTCATCCTTGCCCCGAGGCCATTTTGCTAATCTTTTTTCTCTGTCTCTCTCAAATTTTAACGGCTGTGATGTCCCAAACGGCAACACAGCAATTATTCTATGTGGGGAAAAACAAAAAAAAAAGAAAAAATTAAAGTTCAGAAAACCTACGCAAGTGCTAAGACAACTTCTAAACGCCTAATAGACCTTTCTCGACCTTTCGGTTAAAAATAGACCCAGTATCTATTATACTCTGTCATCTATCTAATATATCTGATCCTTGGTCCATCGGGCCACCTGAGTTTAATTATTTTTTAAGAAAGTAAAACAAAAAACTTATAAACCCCTACTTTACAGTATTGAATCTACACCTGGAAAGAGAAGCCGAGCCTAAGATCAAGTGTAGTATCTGTTCTGATCAGTTTAATATCTGATCCGTGGTCCATCGGACCACATAAAAAAAAAGACGCCTAGCCTATTCTACTCTAGGTAATACATTTATTTAAACCACCAGTACCTTTCTCAGCTATCGATGCCGAGCCTAAAACTTCCCTGCGCGCCAAACGAACCGGCGTGGGGCTCGTTTTGGCTGGCGCCATCAGCCATTTTGCACCGGTAGTAGTCCCAAGCCTCAAGCCTTCCCACCTCCCGTGTTAACAGGCGAGCATTTGTTTTCCAAGAAGGGAAAGGTACTGGTGGTTTAATCAACTCCTTAATAACTTTTCTGAGCTAAACTATATAAGCTACAAGCTGCCTCGAAACGAGGGGCTAGAACCTACTGAGGTTCCTGAGAAAGTTTCAATGCTCCGTCCATCCCTCCGTCCATCCCCTCATCCCACATGCTGACTGCCCTGCTTCTCCGAAGAAGGCGGGAGTCACAAAAATGAGCTGTAATTGCACTTTGCGCCAAGGAACAGTTTCAACTTGCAGTTCGGGCAATGTATACAACCCAGCTTTCTGGCCAGGTAGGGTGCCCGAAGTGCAATTGCAAACTGTATCTTGCCCCATAGTGCAATTATAACTCGTTTTTGTGACTCCACTGAAGTTACCCCAAAGAACAAAGAAGGCCAAGGTTTACAATACTGACTTCCCCCCCCCCCCCCCCCCCCCTCAAAGATTCAATTGGCAAGAGGGATATTTCACAAAGTTTCACGACTGTCATAGGGGAATTTTGCCGTACCCATGCCTTTTAGGGATATCTGACCAAATACCCCAACTTCCAGGGGCATTTCAATAATTTTCCCTTATTGAAAGGGGGGGGGGGGGAACTCAACAGTGGCATAGAACACAGGCATACCGGCCAGCCAGGGGACAGCCGGTAGCATCAGCGCATCCATGCCGACATGACCAATCCCTGTGCCTCCCCTCTCGTGAACACCGTTCTGGCTCAGCTACGGGGTTCCCCTATGACTATAATTAGCAGTTGTGGTAGGTAGGTAGTGTGAGGTGAAATTGAGAGATCTATGTAGCTTACTGCAAAGACAAAACACAGACATTGATCTTTTTTTTTTTTCCTCTGCTTATTTTTATTTTTATTTTACCTCTGAGGGATTCTGTAGCATGACAGGACTTGGCAGCACTGCTGTCGAGCTCAAGGAGACCGCCGCCATCGGCGCTCGACGACCGAGGTTGGTTTCGCCCTGCTGCCTCTCCCGGTAGTACCGTAATCGCGTGCACGTTCAGCTTGTGAACTTCTCGGCTTCCGCTTTCGACGAGTTGAGGGATCCGATACTGCGCCAAAAACATCCCCAACGTGAGCTTCCCGCCCTTTTGCACCTAGCTGCTCTTTCAAAAATTTTGCCTTTTCCGCGCGCCGATGTTACGCTGAGGCAAATAAGGCGGAGTTCAGGGCATACGCCCACTACCACCGTTTTTACTTATTTCTGGATGGAATCCTGGTCGGATGCAGACAAGTACAGCCGTAAATGCGGTCAGATACAGTTAAGAAAGGACTAGTGTGAGTACGCCCTCAGTTTCGCTGCCTCTACCATTCCGTCTCAACTTTTCTTCTTCGCCTTCCGACTCCAGGGATTGGCTGCCGCACCAACATTTTTTCTTTTTGGAATGACAGCACAGGAACACCCTTCAAAAGTCCAAGGGCCGAGATCCCACTAGTAGCCAAGAAGATTGGACTAAGCGCCTGAATCTAATGTCGAGATGCAGAAAATCAGAGCACTGGAAAGGCAACACAAAAACTCCCACAAGAAACGAAAGATGAAAAAACATTCCATTTTTTTTTAAATCCTTTATATGTAACAATTATCGTTTCAATGTTCGTCAAATTCTAAAATTTTTAGGTTTACTTCGACAAGTTTCCATCTAAAAATGAGTTTTCCCTTCCAACCACATCTATTTGTTGAAGTCTTGAAGATGTAATGAAATTATGGACGAGTTTATGACATGTGTTGATTAAACTTTTGTTCTACTATAACAAATTTCTTCTAATTAAGATTGGTTTAACCAATTTATGACTAGAAATCCTTTCATACAATGACCATTTAATTAAAATATTTCATGAACTCATCCAGACTTTCATTCCATCTCTAGCATGCAGTTCAAACAAGAAGGGATACCCCATTCTTGGAATGAAAGTTTTCAAGTAAGACGGAAAATTTTAAAAAGTGGAAGACATTTTTTAAAGATGGAATGGAAATTTTAATTTTAGAATGTAATTTTATTATGGAATGATTATTTAATTATAGGAAAATTTTCTGTTGGGGGATCTGCAAGTCTTCACAAACACTTGCAGATTCAGGTTTTCAATCCAGTGCACTCTCTTTGCAAGTGGGGGATCTCGCCCGATTACAACATTTCAGTTTAACACGGACCAACTTTGGACCCCTGCTAGGCCAAAAGCAATGACCCTTATAACCTTTCACCTCTGGTCTTACCCCATTCCTTGACTCCGTCGGGGCCTGAATACCAAAGGTCTTTCTCCGAGGCACGGATGTGTGGGCCATTCTCACCGCCCCTGGGACCCTACAGTCCTATTTCTGATGCCTACGAAGCCCTTTTGGCTTCGACTCCCACTCTGGATGCATGTTTCTGTGCTCGGTTTGAAACCGGGTTATTACTGCAGGGCAGGTAGTATGCTCAAGTGTATCCATCAAACTTTCTGAAATCCAGTGATGATTTATTTCCCATGGCTTGCTAGCCTTGACTCAGACTTTGGATGCATGTTTCTGATGCTGGTTTCGAACCGGGGTCATTGCAGCCGGAGTGGTATACTCAATCTTATTGTATCCATCAGAATTTGAATTGACAATCTAATGATGACCAGATATTACACGACGGTCACATTCACACTGCAGGCAGGCACCCCTATGACAATTGTTCACCTTGAACTCACATTCAGAAAAGCAAAAGAAGACATAAACTTCGAATGGAAGCCCCAGTAAACGGTGGCAGTAACTCTAACTGTCTAACTTTAGGGCAGTTATAACATCTGGCGGCTATATGCTGGAACACTCGCAATTCTTACATAAGGTCATAATGATGCAGAAAGTGCACTTTGGACAACGGAATCGGTGGGAGCAAAATGGAAATTCAGGCATGCCCATCACCCAGGGAGCATGTGCCTGAATGGTTTGGTCTGCACATGTACCTGGCAGTGTTAGAAAACGCCTCATGAGGTCAAGTTCTAATGGCCTGTACAAGCTGTACGGTTGTCTGTGTGTGTGTGTGTGTGTGTGTGTGTGTGTGTGTGTGTGTGTGTGTGTGTGTGTGTGTGTGTTGCATACTCGTGAGACACAGTCATAAGTATGGCGCAGATTCCCAGAACCGACCAGATAATACAGGCAAGCGGAAAACTTGAGATACCTTGGACTGACTCGGACCTGACTCGGACTGTAATCGAACCCTCTCAACATTCATCAGGGGTGTGAAAGCCCTGGCCTTAGACATAGACGAAAGGCCAGGGTCTGAGATCATCCACAGACGAATGGAGGGAGGAGAGAGACGAAGGGAGGAGGAGAGGGAAGATGACGTCAACTCAATGTTTCCAAAGATAGCATCTTGAAATGTCAGAGGTAACGAAAATCCGAAATGTCACGAATACGATGCCTCACAGTGTCTCAGATATCGATCTCACAATGTCAAGTACATCTCCGGAGGAAGATGAAATCAGATCCCACAAATAGTCCTCAACCTGTAGTCCCAATGTCGCTGTCTCCAATGTCATCAGAACTCGTAACCATCTTTCATACTCATAGTAGTCCCGTAGGAGAACCCAGGAGTAGACTTAGACTGAGAAGGTAGGAGGAGAGCAAGAGAGAGAGGGAGAGAGAGATGGAGAGAGAGAGGGAGAGAGAGAGAGAGCAAGGGGCGGAGGAACAGAGGGAGAGAAGGCAAAGCCTTCCTCCCCAATACCGGATCCGGTAGCTATGGCGCAGCAGGGCCGCTGCGTCTGTTCCTTCTCGCTGCTGCGCTCGGCTTCTCCTCGCTGCTCGTGTTAACACTGCTGCGCTGCACTAATCTCACTAACGCTGCAAGGCTGCACTAATCCTGAAGACTAACTCCAACCTCACTAACTTCTAACCTCTCTACTGAGGCTGGTACCCAGCCTTTTGTAGTGCTGGGCCAGCCTCCTACCTGCTGGTACCTACCGGCCTGGACCGTTGATCTGATCAACGGTCCAGTTTTGAAACTGGAACTTGGCGCCTAAACGCGACAGCCTCTGCAGCGCCGCCGGTAGGTCCTATGCTGGACCGGTACCGTCCTTGTGGCCGTTGGACTGGGCCTCTACCCCTGGCCTGCCTGAACCGCTGTGGCCCTGGCCTATCTGGGCCTCATCTGAACCGTCGTCCCTTAGGCGCATCCTGCCTATTTGGAACCGGGCCCTAACTGGGCCCCGTGTGGCTCAGAATGCCACAGTGTGTGTGTGTGTGTGTGTGTGTGTGTGTGTGTGTGTGTGTGTGCCTGTGTGCGTGTGTGTGTGTGTGTGTGTGATCTCTGCCTCGGTCTCTGTCTCTCTATCTGCCTCTGTCTACCTGTCTGCGTATTTGTCTGTCTGTATCTTCCATTGTCTCTCTATGTATGTGTCTGTCTCTTCTTCTGTTTCTCTTTACTTGTTAAGTTTGTCCCTGTGTGTAGCTTTGTCTCGTTATCTGTTTCTGTCTATCCATCTCTGTCTTTGTCTCTGTATCAGCCTTTGTCTCAGTCAGCCTCTGTGCTTACCTGCCTGCCTGCCTGCCTGCCTGCCTGCCAGCCTGTTGGTCTGGCTCTTCTTCTGTTTCTCTGTACTTGTTCAGTTTGTCTTTCTGTGTGTGTATCTGATCTTTGCCTTTATCTTTGTCTCTTTGTCTGTTTCTTGCCATCCATCTTTATCTTTGTCACTATATCTACCTTTGCATCTGTCGGCCTGTCCGTCTGCCTTTCTGTCCGTCCTTCTCGATGTCCATTGCCTGCCTGCCTGTTTGCCTGCTTCTCTCTCTCTCTCTCTCTCTCTCTCTCTCTCTCTCTCTCTCTCTCCCCCTGTGTTTGTGTATAGGTGAACTAAGCACACGTGCAAGCTCGCAATTATGAGCCCAAGTGAAGGAGGGGGGGAAAACTTCACAGAGGAAATAACACAAAAACGTAAGAAACAAAAGCCTCCAAACTTCCAAAGATAACAAAAACAAAAAAAAGGCAAAGCTTTCGGACAAAAGTTAACACAGACTGCCCAACAAAAAAAAGAAAAAAAAACAAGCCAGCCAACACAGGCTTCACAACAGCACTGACGGCCTGACAGTCAGGGNGGGGGGGGTTCGACGATGGGCCTCGCTCCACTACTCCCCACACGCACAAAAGACAAAAAATATGGCAATGTATCTTTCCATGTTCTAGCAGAAGATTCAGTCTCATTTTGCACATTTGGAGAGTAGCAGAGTGACGCCCCATCAGGCCCCCATGACACGTTGCTGGATAAGGGACACTTGCACCAAGAATTCTCGTTGACGCTCTGAGCGTTGATTACAGAGAGGACATGTGGGGTGGGACAGTGAATAGCTTCTGCATATCGTTTTGATAATAATTCTTTTTGGGTCTAAGCTACCAGCCAGGCCGCCCGGGACCCAGGTGGCCAGCCCGTGCAAGGACCAGGGAAGGTCCCAGCAAAAAAACAAAAACAAAAAGGGAAAATTTTCGATATGCCCCTGAAAGTTCAATTCATTTGCACCGTGCCCCTCTGACGGCCGACTTACCCTGCTGTGCCCCTGGGGCCTCTGAACTTTCCTGCAGGCCCCTCTCTGTGAGGGTAGCAACTTTCCAGCATGCCCCTGTGGCCGTTGGTGGCACACGCGATCTTTCCCCTGGCTCTGGGAGGGGAGCTACCCGGGCGTACTAGAAATTTGGAACCGGTACAGGCAGGGGTATATTGAACATATTTCAAGCCCAAACAACACCAGGGGTTTTTCAGAAACTTCAATCTCTGTCAGAGGGGCGCTGCAGGGTAAGTCGTCCGTTAGAGGGGCACGCTGCAAATAAATCGAACGGTGAGGGGCATATCAAAAATTTTCCCAAACAAAAAAGAAACAAAAAAAAAATCCGAAAAAAAACTATGTTATGCAGAAAATTAAACTGAATACAGCTGGTGGCCGAAGGAGAGGAGCAATTGTTAATGGGTCGTTATCCTGTCCCATCCCTCTGTCTAGATCCGTCCGTCAGGGCTGCCCGGTGGCCCCTTATTTGTACATATTGTATGTTGAAATCCTTCATGTTATGATTCGGGCCGATCCTCTCATATCAGGTTTTCTGCTTCCCTCCGGACAAGCCCTGAAATCCGAGGCATTTGCTGATGTTTCAGTCGCAATTACACCGGTGTCCGATCAGGCCTTTCA